CCACCTAATTTTTGATTTATTGTAGAGATGAGGTCTCGCCAAGTTGTCCAGGTGGGTCTCAAACCCGCAGGCTCAGGGAATCCACTCACCTCAGCCTCCCAAGGCGCGGGATTACAGGCTGAGCCACCGAGCCCGGCTGCTACATTTCTAACTCGTTCATTTGCCTATATATTTATGCAGATAAGCTAAAAATATGCAGAAAAATACTAGAATGTGACCTTGAGCAACACTGTATACCCAAAATCATTTAATAATGTAAACTTATTTATCCAGAATGACAGAGAAAGGTACATTCCAGTTAATATAATGTAAGTTAACTAAGAGTCACATACATACAAACAAAGGATTATATTACTAAAATGAATTTAAAACAATACTGACTATCACTTAACACTTCTTCCATGACTCAGAGGGTCAGGATTTTGCAGTGTTATTAGGTTATCACCATGAACATAAGCGTTTTAAGGAGCACAAACATTGTCTTTTTTTTTTTTTGAGTTGGAGTCTCACTCTGTGGCCCAGGCTGGAGAGCAGTGGCATGCTCATGGCCACAACAGCCTTGACCTGCTGGGCTCAGGCGATCCTTCCACCTCAGCCTTCCAAGTAGCTGGAACCACAGGAGCATACCACCATGCCCAGCTGATTTTTTGATTTATTATAGTGATGAGGTCTCACCAAGTTCAAGGTTGGCCTCAAACCCCTGGGCTCAGGCAATCCTCTTGCCTCCACCTCTCAAAGTGCTGGGAATACAGAAGTGAGCCACCATGCCAAGCAAGAAACATTGTCCTATACTTCCTTCTATATGCTCTATTGCAACTGGTGGAGAAGTACATAAGAGAGCCATAAATACTTGTTAAATTTCATATAATCACTTTGTAAATTAACATGTCCCACAAAACAGATGGAAAACTTTGTTTAAACATTCCAGTGATTTAAATTCTAGGTCAAAGGAGAATTACTATAAATGCGTTTTGATAATGAACAATATTTATCTTTAGAGATTAAAGAGCCACATCTAAAATAATGACAGCATAACTATCTGGCTGGTTATTTGGCAAGAACTGGAACATATGAGGAAAAGAAACATCAGGCTTAGTCCAGACATTTCAAGTGACAGGAGCCTAAATATCTTGGCTGGAGCAAAAGCAGCTGCAAAGAGCCATGAATGTGGGTTGGAATGCTATGGCCGGTGAGAGCAGATGGGAAAGTTTTAGAAAACCTAATTTCAAAAAGGAGAAAATATACAAAAGTATTCAAAAGAATACAAGTATAAAGTAATTGAATCATGCTACTGTGTCCCAAACCAATTGCCTAACAGAATGAAGCTTTGAAAAATAAAAGCCAAGATTGAAAACTTCAACAGAGAACTGGAAATTATAAAAAGTGACACAGAAGACTTGAAAAAAATAGCCAAAAAGAATTTATAGAACCAAAAAATAAAATAAGTAAAATTAAAAACTCAATGAACCAGTTCATTATTACATTAGCTGAAGAGCGAATATGTAAAGGGGAAACTATTCAGAATGAAGAACAAAAATCAGAATAAAGCAGAAACAAAATTAAAAATATAAAAGAAAGGGCCAGGTCCAGTGGTTTACGCCTAAAATCCCAGCACTTTGGGAGGCTGAGGCAAAAAGATTGCTTGAGCCCAGGAGTTCAACAGCAGCCTAGGCAACATAGCAAGACCTCATCTCTACAAACAATAATACTGTGGTGTTATGTGCCTGTACTCCCAGCTACTCTGGAGGCTGAGGCAGAAGGATCACCTGAGCCCAGGAGAACAAAGCTGTAGTGTGCCGTGATCGTACCACTTCATTCCAGCCTGGGTGACAGAGTACAACCCTGACTCAAAAATAATAATAATAAAATTTTAAAAGAAAAAGAAACAAGGTTTATACTGAGGAGGCACATGCATTTAATTGGAGTCCCAGAATTAGAGGAGAGAAAGGAATATAGGCAATATTTGAAGAATGAGTAAGAGTTTCCCCAAAATGATGAAAGAAATAGCATTACACAGATTTTAAAAGCTCCATGAATTCAAAAAACCAAATAAAAAGAAATGCATGTATAGATATACATCAAAATGAATGTGCAGAAAACTTCAAACAGAAATTTCATGAGCAGTCAGAGAAAAAAAATGAATTACATCCAAAGGAACAACCATAGAACAAAACTAATTTCTCCACAGCAATACACAAAAATAATGTCCTAGATTGTGTTTGTTCCAACAAAACAAGGTCAATTTAACATTTGAAAATCAGTGTAATTTACCCCATTAGTAGAGTAACAAAGAAAAATAACATCACAAAAGATGCAGGAAAAATCAACTGAGGAAATACAACATCATTTCACAATTAAAAAAAAACAAAACACTCTTACAAACTAGAAGGAATAAAAGAGCTGATGAAGCTTATCTTCCAAAAACCTACAATGATTTTTTTTTTGAGTTGTAGTCTCACTCTGTCGCCCAGGCTGGAGTGCAGTGGCACGCTCACGGCCACCGCAGCCTCAACCAGCTCAGATGATCTTTCCACCTCAGCCTTCCAAACAGCTGGAATTAGAGGCATGCACTATCACGCCTGGCTAATTTTTTGATGTATTGTAGAGATGAGGTCTCGCCAAGTTGCCCAGGTTGGTCTGACCCTTTGGGCTCAGGCAATCCTCTCACCTTGGTCTCCCAAAGAGCTGGGATGTTTCACTGGGAGTGAAACATCATGCCCGACCAATGGTCATATTTAATAATGAAAGCTTTCCCTCTGCAATGAGTAATGAGACAAAGAGACCTGCTATCACTATTTCCTGGTAGTATTAGCTAGTTCAGTAAGGCACAGAAGATATCAAGGGTATAAGGATTAGAAAAAATGGAACAAAGCCATCATTATCCACAAATGTTATGATTTTGTACACAGAAATTCTAAAATAAGAAACTTTATAAATAAATCTATTTTACTTCCATATATATTTCCTTATATTAGCCATATCCTTTATAGTGGCAAAAAAAAGTTAAATGCCTAGAAATAAATGTGATAAAAGATGAGCAGGGACCAAGCACGATGGCTCATGTCTGTAATCCCAGCACTTTGGGAGACTGAGGTGGGAGAACTGTTTGAGTCCAGGAGTTCAAGACCAGCCTAGGTAACAGAGTGAGACGTTGTCTCCACAAAAAATAAAACATTTAGCTGAGCATGGTGGTACATGCCTCTAGTCCCAGTTCTCAGGAGGCTGAGGCAGGAGAATCACCTGAGCCCAGAAAGTCAAGGCTGCAGTGAGCCGTGATCATGCTGTTGCACTCCAGCCTGGGTGACAAAGTGAAACTCTGACTCAGAAAAAAAAAAAAAAAAAAGAAAAAAAATGAGCAGGACCTCTACTTAAAAGACAATTATTAAGAAAAATTAAAACGAAAAAATCGAGAAGTATGCCATGTTCTCAGGTCAGAACACCCATTATCATAAAGATGTCAATTCTCCTCAAATCCATCAGACCCTATACAATTCCAACCAAAATTCAAAAAAGTTAGTGTATGTGGATGCAAGAATTGGGGTAATCTGACAAGCTGATTCTAAAATTTACATGAAAGTGTCCAGAACCAAGAATAACCAAAATATAAAGCCTTGGAAAGACAGAATGGTATTAGAGCAAGGGCAAATAAACAGAAAAACAAAATGGAGGAACAGTTTGAGGAACAAACCCACACGTATATAGTCAGTGATTTCTGACAAGGAAGCACAACAAGATGGTGTTTAGATGGTCTTTTCAATAAATGGTGCTAGGACACCTGGATATGATAAATGAAACTGTATTTCTATTGCACATCATATACATACATCAATTTTATAAAAGCCCAAAACAATGAAGGTTTTAGAAAACAATATAGGAAAATATCTTAATGACCTCAGAAAATAAAGAAACTGATGTAGTCACATACTGTAGTCATACATTAAAATTACAAACTGAAAAGGCAAATCCACAGGTGGAAAAAGATATTTGCAACTCATATAACCAACTAATGGTTCAAATATAAAAATACAGATACACACAAACAAATCAGTAAGAAAAAGATAATTCAGAAGAAAAATGGGCAGGAGACATTAATAGTCACTTTATAAAAGAAGAAATATATATGGCCAATAAACTTCTAAAAAGGTTTCAATATCATTGTTCTAGGGAAATGCAAAGTAAAACCATAGTAAGGTAATACTACACACATAATGGCTAAAACCTAAAAGACACAATGTCAAGGATATGAAACACTGGTATAGAAGTACTAATTGTTTAAGCACCTGGAAACAGTTTGGTGTTATGGGCCAAAGTTGGAAATACAAATATTCTATGACTCAGTAATACCATTCCTATATTTTTATCCTATAGAAATGCATGAACATGTGTAGCAGGAGACACAATATATTCATAGAATTTTACTATATTTCTCCTAAACTGAAAATAATCCATATATTCACCAATATTAAAATGAACTATATTATGGTGTATCTATGTAATGGAATACTACACAGCAATGAAAACCAATGGACCACACTTAATGCAGTAACAGGAATTAATGCCACAAGTATAATGTTGGGTAAACAAAGCCAGACACAAAATAATTCATATTGTATGACTTAAAAACAAAAAAGCAGTATCACACAAAAAACAGTATGCATATTACCAGAAGTGTTGTCATCAGTAAGGGGTACTTGGACGGGGAGGGTTTCTAAGGTGGAAATGGCAATGTTATATTGTTTTTTAGAGACAGAGTCTCACTATATTGCCCTGGGTGGTCTCAAACTCTTGGCCTCAAGCAATCCTCTCGCCTTGGCCTCCCAAAGAGCTAGGATTACAGGCATGCACTATTAAGACCAGCTAAGTGCTATCTCTTGACCGTTAGAGTGGTTTACACAGGTTTGCATCATAGTAATTCAAACTATTCTTTTATGTTGTATGTACTTTTCAATATGTCTGTTCTGTTTCATATCAAAATGGTTTAAGAAAATTAAACAGCTTACCCTGAGACTAGCATCCGCCCATCATGGGAAAAAGCACAAGTCAGAACAGGAGCACAGTGCCCACTAAGTGTACTTTGATATTTTAATTTAAAACCTGCAAATAACAAGGTAAGAAAAATCAGCACACTGACCAGGTTTAGAATTTATTTTTAAGTCAATGCTATTTATTTATTCAATAAGTAACCTCTGGGTGCCTAAAGGACATAAAAATTAGAAGTCTTCATGCAGCTCAGGTATCTATACAAGCAATTAGAATGAAGTATGATTAAGTGGTTTCTGCCGACTAAAGAAAAAAAGTCAAGCTTTTAAAGAATTGAACTTATTTTTATTCAAAGTCGCACCGAGACCATAGCTTGAGGCCTCCAGCCCGAGAGCAATTCTATCCAACTGCTCCAAAACAGTGTTTGAGCCCATTGCTTATAAACAGGTGGTAGAGGTTCAGTTTGTGCGAAATCATATCAAACTTGCTCAGAGGTTGCATTAAAGCAGAATCACATCAAGGTTTGGGTGTAAGAGTACATCTGGTTATAGATTACTAAAGTACATTTGGTTTTAATTGCAGACACATAATCACTAACCCCGTCAGATGTTGTCTTATGTGTAAGGAAAGGCAAGGCTAGGATCATTTATCTTTTAAGGAATATAATGACTCGGGAAGAGCTTTGGGGGACTGTGTGCTCTGTTGTGCTTTGTCTTCAAGACGTTCTTCCGCAGAGCTGTAAGTATCAGAGTCAGGGGCTTTGTGAAATTATGCTGTCAAGCAGAAATGAGCAAACATGGCTTCTTACATTTGCTACTCTGTCTCACATTTCAAAAGCTCAGTAATGGATTTAAAAAATAATGACCTCAGCAGAGACTAGCCAGAGTAATTTTATAACTACCAAAATATTTTCAAACATTTCAACGATACCACAATTTCAGTATCTGATAAAAAGAAAATATGCCAATTGCCCAAAAGACTAAAAAAAATCAAATGCTTATATTTTTTAAAAATTTGACATTAAAAAATATTTTTTTCATTCTGTAAATAATCAGTAGAATTTACACTTCTTGTAATTCCAATATAACTTTATAACATATAACACTCCTACAAAGAATGATAACACTAAAATCCTTTTTTTGCTTTCTAGAATTACTGAAAATACCACAACTATTTTAAAGGTAAACTGCAGGAATTCAGCGTTTTTTGTGACAACCTATAAAAATAATTATTGAGGAAGTGGTTTGATGGGGGATTAGGAAATACACAAGTGAAATCTATAACTGTGTCACACAATAAAACCTTTTTTGAAGTGTTAAATAGCTCTTAAGGAAGATGACAAGCATTATAACTAAAGAAAAAGTTAATGGCTGGGCTCGGTGGCTCAGCATGTAATCCCATGCTTTGGGAGGCCGAGGTGAGTGGATTGCCTGAGCCCACGGGTTCAAGACCCACCTGGGCAACGTGGTGAGACCTCATCTCTACAATAAATCAAAAAATTAGCCGGGTGTAGTAACATGCGCCTGTAGTTCCAGCTACTTGGAAGGCTGAGGCAGAAGGATCGCCAGAGCCCAGCAGGTCAACGCTGCAGTGGCCAGAAGCGTGTCACTGCACTCCAGTCTGGGTGACAGAGTGAGACTCCAACTCAAAAAATAAAAAAAAAAAGAAAGAAAAAGTTCATTAGAGCAAATAAAATTTCAAGCTCAGAATAAGAAAAAATATATTCTTATCTGGGAGAACAGATATGGGCATTAAAGGCACTGTGGTATGTGCTAGAAATACAATAATCAAAGGACTTTCATTCTAATATTTCATTTGTATTGATCTGGTAACACAGATCAATAAATAGGCACAATTAATCAAACAAAGCAAAAGTACTGAGTTGCAATCCAAATAAAGACTCTAAAACTTATAACAACTAAAAAAAGTGCTGGGATTACAGGCATGAGTTACTGTGCCCAGTGGAGATGTCACTCTTAATGTAATTGTAAACACTGTATAGGAATGATTAACTTGATTGCTTTGATTATAAAAATGCTTGCTATACTGCCCTTAGGTGTGGATCCTTCACCAACCTGCTATCATCAGTGTATCCTGTAAATTTTTAAGAAACTATAGTAGTTTGTGTGGATGCTCCACAATGTATCTTTAACAATTGTTCAAAAGTAAAGCCTTTCATGCCTTTCCTGGAAAATATTTTTAACTGACTCTTTTTTAAAAAAACATACACAACAGTTTATAAACATGCAGTTAAACCTTTTCCTGAAAAGGTTAACTTGTAACGGGGTATCCCCAAATCTGAGAGGGCTTTCACGTAATATTTACCTATTCCAAAGAAGTCACCCGGAGGTCCAGCAGGGAAAGAAATTGGCTTATTAAAATTTAAATCTACTATAATTTCTTACAAAGAAGGAGGCAGAAGGAAGAGGTGGGCTAGACCAAAGAAGTAAATGGGCTCTTATCCTCACCAGCATGTCATACATTAGAAGAACTACTAAATGTAACCTGGTAGGCAATACATAACTAAATTTCCACCAAAAAATGAATGTATTTGTTTCCTGATAAGAGGCTTTCTCTATATACTAGCATTATTATTAATAACAAAAATGTAACTTGTGATGTAACTGAAGCTTATTAGATAACAAATAATAAAACATTTTCAGGCATCTGAATCAAAATGGCCAACTGACCACAAAATTTCAGAATCCCCATTAAAATGTTAATGAAGAAATTAATAAAGGTATAAAGGTACGCTGGTGAAGAGAATAAGAAGGGGGACATCAGCAAACAAGAAACTGAAGTCAACTCTGGAAAGACAGAAAGCAGATTAATCGGTAAGGTAGTTTAGAATTATAGCACAGCGTGCAAAGGCAGCCAGCCACAGCCTAGAAGAAAATTATTCTGTTCTAGAAAACGCCCTAAGCCTTTAGACTATCAACAGCCAGGGAAAAGGAAAATTAAAATGACACATAGACCTGGAAACAGAAAAATTAATGGAAAGTCTGCATATGGAACACTCAATGTCTACTTCCAGTCCTCCCCAATCCCACCCTTAGTATGCTGCACAAAAGCCAGGTGCTTAGCCCCAGGCTAAGGAAAATATTAACTGCATGGGCCACAGACATCTACCCTCCAAGTCCCCAGCCCCACCCCATAAAAGCCATACCCATCGAAGCCAGCAACAACAAACCACCCATGTACACAGAGCTGATAAATATTATTGTCTAATTCTTTTTTTTTTTTTGAGTTGGAGTCTCACTCACTCTGTCACCCAGACTGGAGTGCAGTGGCCGCTCTGGGCCACCGCAGCCTCGACCTGCTGGGCTCGGGCGATACTTCTGCCTCAGCCTTCCAAGTAGCTGGAACAACAGGCACGCGCTACCATGCCCGACTAATTTTTTTATTTATTGTAGAGATGAGGTCTCGTCAAGTTGCCCAGGCAGGTCTCAAACCCACGGGCTCAGGCAATTCACTCACCTAGGCCTCCCAAAGAGCGGGATTACAGGCTGAGCCACCGAGCCCGGCTTATTATCTAATTCTTAAATGTAAATTGAAGTCTAAGCAAAAAGGGGTACCCAGAGCAAACAAAGATGATTAGAAACAGAAGGGAGCTTAAAACAAAAAAACTCCTAATTGATATGCTGAGAGTTTTGCAAAGAACTTAACATTCATACAATAAAAGGACATCATTAGGAGAAAACAAAGATGATGAGTTTTCAGAAATTAAAAATATGATTGATGAGATAAAAAATTCAAAAGAAGGTTAAAAGAAATGGCAGAGGAATTTTTCCATAAAGCACACACACACAAAAAAACATAGAGAATCAATCCAGAAGATCCAACACTCAATTATTGGGAGTTGTAAAAAGAGAAGAAAGTAGACAAGAAATTATTAAAGAAATAGCATAAAGAAATATTCTATTCCAAAACTGAACAACATAAGCTTCTTGACTGAAAGGGTCATGTGAGGGAATATTACAACACATGGACAAAAGACCCACACACTAAAAAACAATAACTACAGAGAATAAAGAAAAACGATAGTGGTATAAAAAGTGTCTACAGAAACTAAAAACCACCAGAAGAGCTGAAAACCAAGTGCAAAGTGGTCACCTCTGGTGAGTAGGAATGTGTATGGCAGTGGTAGGGGTGAGATCACAATTAGCAATGAGCATCCGAATTTTAAATCATGTGAATTACTTTGATTAAAAGTTTCTTAGGCCAGGCACAGTGGCGCATGCCTGTAATCTCAGGACTTCGGGAGGCTTAGGAAGGAAGATTGCTTTAGCCCACGAGTTCGAAACCAGCCTGGGCAACATAGCAAGACCTTGTCTCTACAAACAATTAAAAAAAAAATAGCCAGGCATGGTGGCGCATACCTGTAGTCCCAGTTACTCAGGAGGCTGAAGTGGAAGGATCGCCTGAGCCCTGGAGGTTGAGGCTGTGGTGAGCCATGATTGTGCCACTGTCCTCCAGCCTGGGCAACAGAGTGAGATCCCAATTCAAAAAATAAACAAAAATAAGACAGTTTCTTAAATCATATTTTTATAATTTTATATACTCAAGTTACCTTAAGTAAAAAGATTCAGAAATGTTATCCAGATCACAAATAACATTAGAGAAGTATTAGCTATATACATACCTAAGATGATATGGGTAAAAGAAACAACCCAAATTTTGACTTGGCAATCCTGACCACATGATGCCAATCGAAAAAACTGAGGGCTTTGTTCTCCATCTAAAATGTAAATTTTCAAAAATTAAATACAAAGAATTGACAAACCATTTAAACCCCAAAAATTTCTATTTCTTATGCCGAGATCTGTTAATTGTATTCATTTAAACCACATTTTAACAAGCAATACTAGTCTCTTAAAGGAAAACAGTTTACTCAATGAATGGCTAAGAATAAAATATTCACATATAAGACCTGACTCGCAGACTAATTTTTTAATTATTTCTCAGGTAGATTCTTTGAAGTTAATTCTGAAATTCTGTAAGTAATGAGAATTCAGCTAGGAGAATGGAAAATTATGAAGCTTAAAATGAGCCTATATACCGAACCTGAATTGTACCCCATGTCTTTAAAAATTAAAAAAAAAAAAACTTAAAAAAAATGAGGCCAGGCTTGGTGGCTCAGCCTGTAATCCCAGCACTTTGGGAGACCGAGGTAAGTGAACTGCCTAAGCCTATGGGCTCAGACTAGCCTGGGCAACTTGGCGAGACCTTGTCTCTACAATAAATCAAAAATCAGCCAGCATGGTGGCATACACCTGTAGTCCCAACTATTCAGGAGGCTGAGGTGGAAGGATCCCTTGAGCCCAGGAGTCTGAGGCTTCAGTGAACCACTGCACTCCAGTCTGGGCGACACAGTGAGACCCCCCAACTTAAAATAAATAAATAAAGTACTTAGAAATATGCTTTTCTTTAGGAAAAATATTTATATTATAGTAATAACCTAACCCGAGCTTTATCATGTAAAAACTGAAGAAAACTGATCATTTATCCTTGGGTACAAATGGGATTATTTTTCCCTATTTTAGCAAAATGTCACAAGATAAGTTGATACCATAAATATTCCTATATTAACAAATACTAAATGAAACCACAACAAATTAAAGTTATATACTTTGTCCCTTTAAATAAATACAGTAATTCCCACAAATTCCTATAAAAAATCACTTTAAAGCATATATCAATTTGTTTCAGGAAATGTACATATAAAGTTAATATCTATTTCAACAGAAGCAATAATGGAACTAAAGAAGGCATGTAGATTAAAATTATACTGAGAGAAATGTATGCTTTGAACTATGTTCTACAGGCAGGGTAGAGATGTGGATATTACTTTAGAATCTCACCTAGAATTCTCTGCCTGGTTCACAGAAACTTCCTGATCCTAAAAGCTGCCAATCTCTCTGAAGGCAGGACAAAGAAACCCTTAGTTTTACTCTAATATTAACTAATATAATAATGGTATTTTTATTGGAAATCTATTTTCAGGTCATTCATAACCAAAAAGGAAACCTAAATCTCTTCACTTTTATATAATTCATCAGAGACTTCATAACTCAAGAGCTCCTGCAAGATGTGGAGAAGGTTCCCCAGAAATAGAAGAAATGACTTGTTTGTTACAAGTTGTGCTCAGAATAAAACAGCACATAACAATATATTTTAAAAAATAAATTATCTTAAGTAAATAAGATCAGGTCTGGATTTAAGAATGTGTTCATGAAAAGAAAATCTATTTCAGCAAATCACTGAAAGAAATCTTACTCATCAATCTATATTTCAAGGCCAACACTTACTAGGCACCATGAAGAAAACAGACCCAGACCCTGCCTGCATGGAGCTTACAAGCTAATAGGAAAAGCACCATTAAACGTTATCCATATAAATGAATATATAATTAAAAACTGTGATACCTCTCTAAGGACTGCAAAAGAAACAAAGTGTGCAAATAAAAGATTATAGCAAAATGACACAGATTTAGTGCAGGGGAGGCTCATCTGAAGTGATAGTTCAGTCGAAATCTAAAGGATAAAAGAGTGAACCAGGTGAAGAGACCACATGCAGAACTCTTAAAAAAAAAATCTTAGAAACATTCCAGCAATGGAAGAAGGCCAGTGTGGTAAAAGAGTAACATACGAGGCCAAGAGTGATTTGAGACTGGGGTGAAACAAAATGTGCAAAGTACTTATAGGCTTTGCCTGGGGACTTGGGATTTTATCTTACCTTAATGATGGATTTGAAAGAGGGGAATGCCAAAATCATTCTGTCTACTGTCCAATAAGTAGTGACTAGCCATATGTGGGCACTGAACATTTGAATTGCAGCTAGTCTAAACTGAAGTGTACTGTAATATACACACTGGATTTCAAAGGCTTGGTACAAGTCTTATTAATAATTTTTATGGATTATCAATTATTGAAATTATATTATTAGATATACTGGGTAAACATACATTAAAATTAATTTCATCTACTACTAGAAAATATTTGAATTACCTACATGGCCTGCATTATATTGTTATGGACAGCACTGGTCTGGCAGCAAAACTGAAGGGGGCAAAAGCAGAACTTTCATCCTAACATAGAAAATGAAAATAAAAAGATAAAAACTCTCCAATTCACTATATCTATTTAAATCAAGAGAGTACATCAGGAATTTCTATTTCTTCTTTTTAAAAAATGTGTTACTTGGAATTTTAAATCAGTAAATGGAAAACGTAGCTTCTCTTTCCAATTTTGAAATTTTACCTTTCTATTTGAATATCAATAGTGTATTTTTTTTTTTTTTGAGTTGGAGTCTCACTCTGTCACCCAGACTGGAGTGCAGTGGCCGCTCCCAGCTACTGCAGCCTCGACCCATGGGCTCCGGGGATTTTTCTGCCTCAGCCTTCCAAGTAGCTGGAATTACAGGCACGCGCTACCACGCCCGGCTAATTTTTTGATTTATTGTAGAGATGAGGTCTCGCCAAGTTGCTCAGGCGGGTCTCAAACCCGCGGACTCAGGCAATCCACTCACCTCAGCCTCCCAAAGTGCGGGATTACAGGCTGAGCCACGGAGCCCGGCTAATAGTGTATTCTTTAAAGTCACAGTAAAACCAATAGAGTTAAGTCCTCTGAACTGGATCCATTTTACCAAGTTGAGTCGTCTCCTATATATACTAAAGAATGTGTTTTTCCTGTATTTTTCATGATTTCATATTGATCAAAAAAGAGAGAAGGATAATCCCTTTAAAGGATAAATTAGGGGGACTCCTCACTTTACTAATGATGAAATGAAAAAGAATAAAAGAAAGAAAAGTCATATTCAGTACAAATTACAAATAGCACTTAAAAGAGTAAAATAACTAACCAGAAACTGGCTGTGAAGAAAAATCGCAGCATGAAATTCCCAGATCGTGTGCTTTTTCACTATGCAGACACCTCATTTTATCATCCCACACTGTTAAATCTCCACATGAGGAGCCAGTGACAAAGAGGTTTCCATCAGGAGAAAATGCACATGCCACCAAGGAGCCATCCTTAACACTACCACATCTGAAATAAAAGCAAAAAAGGGGGTTCCATTTCACAGCATTTTTTACTTTATATTACAATCTCTAACAGCACCTTGATACAGTAAAAAGAGAATAAATGGCTATCACAGAACTAGAAAGAAAGGACAAATGATGCCTACAGAAATAGAATGCTATTTATAAGCTATAAACTGAGCTATGCTTTTTAAAAGTAAGGGAGGATTTAAACATCTTAACTAATATGTCCATAGCCTAAATTATAGGGATCCAAACCAAAGTTTGCATATTTTCATATTTTTCTATATGGCAAATCAGTATGAATACATCAAAATCTGCAAACCTAACCAAAAAATCAATGACAACCCACAATATCAACTACAGCCATATGTTTGTTTTTTTTTTTAAGGCAAAATGAAACTATTTTTATTGAAAAACGTGCTACTGGAATAAAAAATACTTTCACCTTCTGTATTTTTTTTTTTTTTTTTGAGTTGGAGTCTCACTCTGTCACCCAGACTGGAGTGCAGTGGCCGCTCCCGGCCATTGCAGCCTCGACCTGCTGGGCTCTGGCGATCCTTCTGCCTCAGCCTTCCAAGTAGCTGGAACTACAGGTGTGCGCTACCACGCCCGGCTAATTTTGATTTATTGTAGAGATGAGGTCTTGCCAAGTTGCCCTGGCAGGTCCCGAACCCTCAGGCTCAGGCAATCCACTCACCTCAGCCTCCCAAAGGCGCGGGATTACAGGCTGAGCCACCGAGCCCGGCTCACCTTCTGTATTAAAAATCACCCAGGGTCAGGCACAGTGGTTCATGCCTATAATCCTAGCACTTTAGGAGGCCGAGCAGAAGGATTATTTGTCTCTACAAAAAAAATTTATTTAATTAGCCAGGTGTGGTGGCATGCACCTGTAGTCCTAGCTGCTCAGAAGGCTGAGGTGGAAGGACTGCCTGAGGCCAGGAGGTCAAGGCTGTAGCAAGCCATGATGGTGCCACTGCACTCCAGCTTGGGCAACAGAGTGAGACTCTGACTCAAAAAAAAAAAATCACCCAGAAACAACAGTGAGGCCTTTCATCTCATTTTCAAATACAAATCCTTTATGAAAAGAAAATGCTGCAAACAAGTTAAAGTTATCTTAAGAAGACAAGGAAGCGCTGTGCAGACAGTATTACTATTTGCTCAATTAGGAAAACTACCTTGTTGAGAACCCAACAATTAGTACAGTGTCCCATCCAACAGGGTATCATTTTCACATCATTAATTATGTACTTTAGGGATAGTTATATTACAGAGCCAAAAGTCATCACCAGATAAGTGGGGGGAAAAAATTCCTTAGCTGACAGTTGTATTTCATTCATATAACATAAAGACATTTTATTCCTTCTGGACTTTCTTATTGGACTAAGTGTTTATTAACACCACTTAAAGCACATCACCTTCCTCAACCCAAAGACCTAAGTTTAAAGCTTAAATGAGCAACAATTGTTGACCAGATGGCATTTGTACTCTGAAAGATGCTGGGAGATAGAAGGAGGGGGAGAGACATTATTAATACTTAAAAGTGTCTATTTTTAAATGAACTTAATGTCATCAAAAAAAGTTAACCAGCCAGGTGTGGTGGCTCAAGCCTGTAATCCCAGCACTTTGGGAGGCTGAGGTGAGAGGACTACCTGAGCCCAGTGTTTGCAACCAGCCTGGGTACCTTGATGAGACATCATCTCTACAACAAATCAAAAATTAGCTGAGCTTGGTGGTGCACGCCTGTAATTCCAGCTACTGGAAGGCTGAGGCAGAAGGATCTCCTGAGTCCAGCATGTTGAGGATGTGATTGTGCTACTGCACTCTAGCCTGGGCAACAGAGTAAGACTTCAATTCAAAAAAAAAAAAAAAAAAATGATAGCCTACAAATGATAACTTTTGTTATATATATTTTACCACAATGTAAATAAAAGTGAATGGTTTTGGTTTGTTTTTGAGTTTGTTTTTGAGTCTCACTCTGTCACCCAGGCTAGAGTGCAGTGGCACAATCACAGTTTACTGCAGCTTCAAACTCCTGGGCTCAAGTGATCCTCCTGACTCAGCCTCCTGAATAGCTGGGACTACATGCATGTGCCACCACACTCTGCTACTCTTTTTATTTTTTTTTAAAGAAGGGATCTCACTTTGCTGCCCAGACTGCTCTCGAACTCCCGGGCTCAAACAATCCTCCTACCTCAGCCTCCTAAAGTACTGGGATAACAGGAGTGAGCCACTATATCCACCCAAAGTGAATGGTTTTAATGTTGGTAAGTTGCAACATAACATTACCACCGTAAATTAATTGATATGCTTTTTCCTAAAAGAGTTTTTTGGGCAAGTTTTTTTTTTTTTTTTTAAAGAAATGATAAGTAACATAACACCAGTCATTACGTTCTTTCTTCTGGGCATGGTCACTCACCCAACAAGAATTCCAGTCAGTGAAATAACTGTTATCTGTTAGATGAGACTTAACATTACTTTATTATTGGGAACACCTGAGCCACAAGTGAGACCAATAAAGCCTAAAATTACCAAACATTATTCAAAAGACTTGTTTTCTTTGTCTAACCCTTACCATAAAAATCCATGAAAGTCTAAAAAGATTCACTCTTATTTTAAAAAAGAAAAATTGGAAATTTAAAACTCTAAGAGCCAAGCAAATCTACCATAAGAATCATATTAAATATCTCTCTGGTGTTTTGACCTTTAGAAGTTAGGTTAGTATATTTTTTCCTTGTGCTATCTGAAAACTATCTGCTTCCTAAGGTCATCAAAATATTTTGCTTTCTGATTTTTTTTTTTTTAGTACATCTAGACAATAGGTTAAAAACAGGAAGGATTTAAATATTCATACCTATATAACTTGTATGACTGTGCATTCCACAAAACAACAGTTCCATCAGCGGCACCTGATGCCAAACAAGTGGAGTCTGGAGAAAACTGGCAAACCCTCACGGGGCTGCCACTAGGCTGTTCCATCACTGCCAAAGTCTGTCCATTTTGAGTATTCCATAGGACAGTGGTACCATCTGTTGAACATGATGCCAAAATATGTCCTGAAGGCGAGAAACAGCAGCAGTGGACAGCATAGGTGTGAAACTTCAGGGGAGAGTATGGCAGTTCAGTAAAGTCACTTAAGGAATACAGGCGAATCGTTTTGTCCAAGGAGCAAGTAGCCAAGAGGGAAAAGGAGAAGGCACAGCAGTTGACGTCATCACTGTGATCAGTTAATGTGTGAATTAGCTTCACCATGTTCTTTATTTGAAGTAAAACAGTCTGCAAATTTTAAGTAGAAAAGGTTACTTCATCCTAGCCATCAGATAAATGCACTGAAATCCATATAAAAGGGCCAAAATCAATATTAAAATCTGCTCAATGAAAACATCAATATTTTAAAAAGACAATTACCTGGGGTAAGGATAATTTGGAGAGAGAAAATAACATCTATAAGGCTATAACTTTTGATGATGAGTACAACTACCATTACCATATCAATAAATTTCCACCTCTGAAAAAGAAGCTTGTCAAATAACTTCAAACTGGATGTGACATCGAAGTTCAAAACCTAAGGTATTTAATTTCATCGTTGAAGCTTTTCTCATAACTAATTCTCCACACTGCCAAATTACAAATCTGCTAATCTCAACTCAAAGTATTTTCTATTTTAACTAACTGTCTTGGCTGCTCCTTCCACAGGGTGGAGCCAAGTCTATTTGCTCTTTAAGATCCAACTGTAGGATTCAACCATAAAAAACTAACAAAGGTCTCGTTGAAACGTAAGTGGCAGCAATGAAAGCTATTTTGTCATGGTTTGTCATCCTGTCTGATAAAGAATAAAATGAGGCCGGTGGTTCAATCCTGTAATCTCAGCACTTTGGGAGGCTGAGGAGAGAGGATTGTCTGAGCCCGCGGGTTCAAGACCAGCCTGGGCAACATAGTGAGACCTCGTCTCTACAATAAATCAAAAAATTAGATGGGTGTGGTAGCACGCCTGTAGTTTCGACTACTTGGAAGGCTGAGGAGGATCACCAGAGACCAGCAGGTCGACGCTGGGGTGGCTGTGAGTGTGCCACTGCACTCCAGCCTGGGCAATGGAGTGAGACTTCAACTCAAAAAAATAAAAAAGAAGCCGGGCTCAGTGGCTCAGCCTGTAATCCCGCACCTTGGGAGGCTGAGGTGAGTGAATTGCCTGAGCCTGAGGGTTCGAGACCCGCCTGGGCAA